GGGGTCACTCTGATGCTCCTGCCAGTGCTTAGAAAACTGGGAGATTCTTGACTGGAAGATCATACTCTTCCAAAGCTCAATTGCTACATTTAGGGCCAGGAAAGATCCAAAGAGACAGTTCAAATGATACTGGACAACATTGAAGTGTGCTATGAGACTGAAACTGGACCTGCCCTTGGTGATCAGAATTGAGGAGACTTAAATGGCTTTGCTAAAGGAATATGTATCTACACACCTGACATCTGCAAGGCACTCACTTCTGTCACTATAGAGTAGAATCTCTCTACATCAAAGCATGGGTCTATGCAGTGACTCAGTTCTCAAATAATGAAACTTCGGCGAAAAGTAGCTGAAGACACCTGCATCTGGAGTTGGTTTACCTGGAGATGGGTAAACTATCATTTTAGGCAGAAACTTGGGATGAGGTTGCAAAAACTTGCCTGCATGAAAAGCAGTACTGAAGGTTCTACCATCAACACCAGACTGCCACCAAGAATGCCATCTTCATTGACAGGTAAATCAACAGGTAGTTTGCTATAGGTTCAAAAGACAGTCCCATTAGGTTCAGGTCCCAACAGGGAATGGGATCTTGCAGTATGGGATCTTTGAGTAATTTCAGGACTGCCCCAGGGATGAAGACAGACTTTTACCACTGGAGAACAGTGAGCTGAGATGGCAAACAAAAGCTCTTTAAGTGGTCTTACAAATTGAATGGTCTCTGCCATCAGTGAGAGACCCATGCAGAGTCCTGTTTTGCTTTTCACAGCACTCATGGGATCATGTGTGGAGGAAATGGCATATAATACAAGGATCTTCCTAGAACATGGAACAAGAAACCCAGCAGAAAGGAGCTGGGGCTGGGCTCTTGCCCCCGGTGCAGAAGAAATGATACAAGACTGCCGAGTGTACAGTGGTTCTGATCACCAGATAACCTTCAGAAAGGAGGGCAGCAAATGCATCCCACAAGTTCAGTGGTCAGATATCAGTAAACACTATAAGCAGCTAAGATATGAAAGTTGTAACAGGCCAACAGGGCTTGTCTCTTAGCCATCCTGAACTACAACTAATTGAAGAAATGCACGCTGTCTTCAACAGATCCATGCTTTTGGACTCCTCTTGGAGTGCTGTGGACATGTTTGTCTTTTAATTAACTGCAACAACAACAGAGGAAGATATTGCTCTGAGCAGGGAGAGCCTTTGAAGTCAAGATAGAAGAACGGGTGCCTTGAGTACCAGCTGGGTGGGAAGACCAAAGCCAAAATTGTCACAGTGGAGATATCTGGAGAGATCTCTGGAAGGTCTCTGTTTCTTATGAGACATGAACATGTAGTCAAAGCCCACGGTATTTGCTGGAATAAAAGGAAGAATGCGATAAGAGGCATTGATCAGAAGTGCTGATAGACCCAGAACTGGACACAGGTCTATGTGTGTTGCGCCTGATGGCCTAATGGTTGGTGTCAGTATAGGCAAGGAAAGCAAAAGAAATTCTGGTTCTCATCTGCACAACCAAGTCACTCAGAACTGTGAACCACCAAAGAAACACAGGACACACTGGAATGGCTGGACAATGCAGAGGATGTTGGGGCTTATTATATTTCAACAGAAATACTGGAGCTCAGCGATTCAAGACCATAGCCAGTCCTAGTTTGAGCAGATGGTAAAGATGATGTGCCACGGCAAACCTTAGGCAAGCATGCTTCTTGTGTACTGTTAGCTGGCTCTGTGAAATTAGTGCTGAAACACTTCTGAGTTTTGTTGGGACCAACTCAAATTCATATTCTTAAAATGGGAATGAGGAGGAGGTAGTAAAGCAGGTCTCTTTCAGGAATTCCAAGACGTGGACCTTTCTGGAACAGTCCCTGGATCTGAGCTCAGCAGTGATCTTTTTACAGACAGGAGATCAGTGGCCTCCAATAGGAAAGTGGTATTGTGTGCAGATAGAAATCCAGCAGAGTTATGCACTCCTGGATAAGATGCCAACTCCATTGATAAGCCCAAGATGTAAGATCTGAATTCTGGCCTCCAGATCCCTTCTGTTCCAGGTGGTAAAAAGACTTGCAAATGGAGCACTCTCAAGAAATAAAAGGCATTTAATGTGTCCACCTATCATGAGCACAGTGCTATTGCAAAATGGATATGATGTAAGACATGCAGATCTTAGAGAAACCATGAGAACAAAGAAAAAAAAAAGCTTTCTAAAAATGTTTCAAAGGAAAAAAAGCCCTTGGAGAAGCAACAGAGAAAACATGAGGTTTTATCATGCTGATGCACCAAGTCAAAGATTCAAAACAGTCTCTAAACCTGCATTGAAGTGGGTCTCAAAAAATACTTGGAAAAGTGGTTCATGAATCTCAGACAACAAGAAAATAGTTGTCATTTTTTATTTAAGTAATGAGACTTTCAGCCATCTTTCTGCTTTTAAGCAGAGCAACTATGAGCTGGAGTCACTAGGACATTAACATGGAAACATACAATGGCACATTTCTTATTAAGGATGTTTTTTCATTTAATAAAACATTTTCATTAAATTATTTAATTGCTACTATATTTAAACATCAGTTTATTTAAATGTCTGAGATTACAAGTGGATAAATATAAGCATTTCAAAAGATTACGCTTGACATAAAACAACTTACCTTCATGTAATTCACTATCTTAGCAAGGACACCAAACTTGTAACCAGAGCCTCCAGAAAGGGCTTTCAAATTAAATGACCCATTACTGTGATCTACAAAAGAAACAAATCAACACATTCTCAAATATATATATATTTAGTTTTACACTCAACCATTTTTAAATTATACATACTTCATTTATTTTTTGTTGCATCACCAAAGTTACAAATAGTGTAAAAATGGGTGTTCTCAGATAACTCTGGAAGAGATATTGGGCACTTTGGAAATATAGGCACCTAAGTAACTTTGGGGTTCTGGGCCATTATCCTTATGGGACTGCATAAATGCAGAACATAGGAAGACACGGTTCTTTGGGTAAATATGATATTAACTGGTCTAGTAAAAGATATCACATTTACCCAAAGAACCTTGTCGCCTATGCCTTTAGACCAACATGGCTACAACCAACACCCCCAGAACATAGGAAGGGGCTTCCTTGGCCATTAAGTCTGATGTTTTGAATTTCAGATTTTAGGCAATCATTATCCAAAGAAATCCCCAAAATTAGGGGTGCACCTATAGAGAATTTTTGGGCTGATACTGATGGCCAATTTTTAATGAGCCATATCAGCTGATACCAATCCAATTCCGATATGCAGGTGGGCAGCATGGAGAGCTGTGTCGGGTCAGCAAGTCTGTTGTAGGGAAAGGGGTGTGGAGGGGGCAGATCAAGGCCTCCATGGTCAAGGAGTAGGGCTGGCTAGGGTACGGGTAGGCGCTGCCCAGCCAGGGCGAGGCAGAGCAGGGGACAGCCACGATTGGCTCACTTGGGGGGGTTTTGGCAGGGGGTTAGCTCCCACCGCTGCATGCACTCTGGGAGGGCATGGGGGGCGTGTGCCCTCAGATCTGCATACAGAGTGAGGACAGGCTGGTGCCAGGCTCTTCCCAGTGCAGGGGTTGGGCCGGGGCTGTGCTCAGGGCGGGTGGGGTGGCAGCACTGGGAGGGGACTATGGGGGGGCTGCAGCCACCCCAAAATTTGCCATAGTTCCCCTATAGCCTGCCTCCTAGCACCGCCACCACTTGCCCCAAGCACAGCCCAGGCCCCTCCCCTTCCCCCCCACCAGGAAGAGCCTGGAGTTGCCCCTGGCCCCGGTGGTGGCTAACCCTGCCTCGCACACAGATCTGGGGACAACCCCCCTCCGCACCCTGTGCCCTCCCAGAGGTGCATGCAGCAGCAGGGACTGCCCCCCCATATCCCCCTCCCAGCACCATTGCTGCCGGCTCTGAGCACAGCCCAGCCCAGCCCCCCACCGGGAAGAGCATGGCACTGCCCCTGCCCCAGCCCACAGTGGCAGCCAGCCCTGCCGCATGCACAGATCTGGGGGCACCCCCCAGCATGCCTTCCCAGGGAAGCGTGCAGCAGCGGGAGATGCACACATCCCCTGGATGAGCCACTTGCCTCTCCATGGCTGTGCACATTGCATGGGCCACAGCTGTCCACATGGCATGCAGGGCCAGTACAGGGCATGAGCTGCTCACGGCACACATGCTGGATCCGCAGCTGCATATGGCACAGGGGATCCAAGCTGCATATAGCACCCCAGACCAACTACCTTGTGCTGCCAGCAGGGCTAGGTCCAGCCTGCACAACGTAGGTAGCACGTGCCCAATGCCAGCCCTGCATGCCGAGTAAGGCTTGGGTTTGCCATGACCTGCACACAATGCCGAACTAGCAGCACCCCACCAGACTGGCCCTGTGCACTATGGCTCTATAGGCCAGATGCAGTCAAGGGCCGTAAGTTTGATGACCCTTCACATATGTTTAAACCTTCACATACAACTGCTAGGTATAAGACCCAAAAAACTGCCACAACTAAGTCATCTCATAAGTAACAGCAAGGGCACTGTCAATGCCCCCTGCCACCATAATGACAGAGAAGTGGTCAGTTAATACATGCTCAGAAGATTCTAAGAAAAGGACTATATACAATGCTACAAAGGAAGGCAATCCCCATCTCCCCCAGCCCATGCCAATCTGAATTTCAGATATCCTAATCCCAAATTAGTGATCTGTATGACTGAATAGAAGAATATGACCCTATGGCCTATTTTTTGAAGTACTAGCCAGACCATCAGTGCACCTCACTCAAAAAAACCAGAGTTATCTGTAAGCCCATGTCCTCATCCTCAAAACAAAATAATTTCTGCCTTCCCACTTCCTCTCCAAAGCCAACTAATAACAATCATGTTGGGGAGAGGAGAGGTGTGGAGGAAATAATCTTTCTTGGCTCCAACTGACAACCAGCAAAAGCCTTATGCATGATAGTACCAGACACTTTCTACACCACAAGAACTACTTCATTATTCTAGCTGAGGACCACAGACCCATGACTCCACATCACATACACAGACTGTTAAGCCAGAACTCTCTGTCCTATCATGACATCCCCTCTATAACCTTTTCCAACCATTTGATCTCATGCCAGTGTTTTTTTCAGCCTTAAAAAAAAAAGCCTGCTCCATCTCTAATATTCACTCTATGAATGTATTTGCAGAGAGTGATCGTATCTCTTCTCAATTTCTTTTTTTACAAGAAAGTATCCCAGAAATTCTGAGACATATGCCAGGGGTGGGCAAAATATAGCCCACAGGCCAGATCTGGACCTCTAACTGATTACATCAAGCCCATGGGCAGGCAGCCACCAAATAATGGGATCTAGCCTGTGAGTGGCCAGCAGCCCTGGCTGCTGCATGGTGCTGGGAGGGCAGGCAGGGCTGTCCTGCTGTGCCAGACAGGTAGATGGGAATGCTTCTGCCCAACACTGACATGGTGGCATTGGCTGTGGACCCAGGCAAATGCCTTGATTCCCACTCGGAACCTGCGAGGTGCATCCACCACTGACGCTAGCACCTGTCCAGGGCTGCTTCTGCTCTGCCAGGCAGGCGGCATTGCAAGCTGTGGACCAAAGGCAAAACGTGGGCTGGGCATGTGTCTGAGGCTGTCTGCTCCCCCATCTCAGCACATAGTGAAGCCCCCACACTAAGGCATCTTGCACTCCAGCCAGCAGCTCCCCAGCTGGCTGGGATGCAGTGTGCCTTAAGACAGGGGAGCAGGCAGCCATGGGAGCCACTTACTCCCCCATCTCGAGACACACTGTGCCCCAGCCAGCTGCTCTGCGGCCACTTTTCTTCTGGATATGCCAGGGGTGGGCAAAATATGGTCCATGGGCTGGACGCATCCTGCCAGGCTATTCAATCCAGCTCACAGGGCCTCTAAAAATTTTAGTAAATTAATATTGATTTGCTCCTGGCTGCCTGTCAAAGATGACAGGAGACAGGGGCAGTAGGACCCAGGGGAAGCTGGCAGCAGGTTACAGCAGCCCAGACCCACTCCATCCCCAGCCATTTCCCTGTATTCCTACCCTGTGCTGCTACAGCACCATGTGGCTCCTGGCTGAATCGTGGGAGCATGGGGCTGCACTGGTAGCCCAGGGCCAGAAGCAGGAGGGGTTTGTGTGTGTGTGTGTGTGTGTGTGTGTGTGTGTGTGTGTGTGTGTGTGTGTGTGTGTGTGTGTGTGTGTGTGTGTGTGTGGGGAGAGGTGTGGGAGGCAGGCACATGGGCTGCCTGAGGGCAGGGAAGGGTGGAGGGATGT